TTGAATAATTATCTAAAAAATAGATGGTTTGGATTAGTGAAATATAATGTGGAGATAAGCAGTGGCGGAGCCAAGATTTCACATTACTAGGGGCCCTTCATAAAATAAAACATGTCTTCTCTTCATAATTATTATGAATTTCATATTTTAAATTGGTTAAATACTAATTTTATCATCTAATAAAGACTTAAATAATTTATATTACAACATAGAAAAAAAAAAATTGTTCATAAACCGCAATATTAAGGTACCCAACTCATACATAAAAAATGAGGAAAATAAAAGAGGAAGAGGAAGAGAAAGAAAGGTTAAACTTTAGGAGTTTTTAGTGCAAATATCATAAACTAACCTAAATATTTAAAGAAAATGAGTAGAAGGGAGATCAAGAAATTTTATGGTTAATTTGTGGACAAAAAGAACCTAATGTATTATTTTATTTTAGAGCAAATATCCTAAAACTAATCTAATATATTATAATATTATATATCATATATAATATACAAATAGAACATGTAAAAATAGAGTGGGGCCCATGCTGACTCCGCCCTTACCTACAAGAGTGTCCCCCAAATAAGTTTATATGAATGATCCATCAATGGAAACTCTAGCCCCATCAAAATTATTTTTTAAAAAAAACTTGTAACTATAACGTCAAATTATTGTTATAGAGAATTCACATATTAAGCCCAGAAATTCAAAAACATCAATAACCATTAAGACGAAAACTGATGAGCATGACATGACCGCAATGAGTATTACCATGAGGGCACACAGAAACCCAGTTGAACTACACTTCGCTAATGGAAACTGCGTCTATAATCAGGCAAGCACTCCAATCCATTCTTTTTTCGAAAAAAGTGAAAATTGCTATTCCAAATTAAAGCAGTGCCGAAAGAAAAAAAAAAGTCTTCTAGAACACATGCATGCTTTGTTTTTATTCCTCGTGACGTTGCTGCATGTTTTAGTTAACTGACTTAGACCTTTGATCTACCACCCCCACAAGTTGAAATCGCATTATTATTAGTGGTCGCTAACTATGTGATTGGCCACCTAACTTTGATTTGCATGCTAATGAATTTGAAGGCAAAATTGAACACATAACCGAAAAGATTAAGATAATTGTCTATTCGATTAGACGCTAGCTCTGATGCTTATCCTGAAAATTAAACTCAATATAAACTAATGGGGCATTATTGGATTGGTCCAGATTTTTAGTGTGCTCTCAAGTGATCATAGATTCAAGCATCCGTGTATATGAGTTTTCATCTTTCATTTCTAACTTCGACAACAACAACAAAAAACCCCAGAAATGAAAATATATAGAGGGTTTCAAAAATCCATAATTATTGATTTGTCTCTAACCTAATCCAACTATCCACGAATAGCAAACCTTTTTTCTTTGGTCCTTCGTGAGTAAACAACTAACAACCTAAGCACTCTTCCATAAACATTAATTTACACAATATTATATGCAAAATTATCACAGCCGAATGGAGTCCACAACTAATTATAGATAGTTGTGTATATATAAAGAGTGGTGATTTCCCCACTCCTTTTTCTCCTATTTTATCCACTTACACTCCTTTTTTATAACTAAAAAAAGAGTGTAAGTGGATAAAATATGAGTGGGGAAATCATTGCCCTATATAAATTACGTATAATTTCATACAATGGTGGGCCGTATGCTTCCAAGGAGCACTGCTCATTATCCACAACCCTCTTCATTTGGTGCATATTTTTCAAGAATTTCTTCACGTATTGGTGACGAATCAAAGACTTAACATTTACTTCATTTGGGTCTTCGTTGCCACTTCGTTTTCCCTCAATTCGGCGCTTCAATATATAATTTGTCATATACGGTGTTCCATTGCCATCATGATCAAATAAAATTCCAATCAAAGTACTCGAGATCAATTTTCCTTTTTCCTCTAATATTCAAACTACACAATATATCATCATGTGGGAACTTGTAGAGCATTTGACAATACCTCACCATGTTGGACCGTCAAGAGAGAAAAGTGATTTTTGACCGATCTAAGGAAAGAAATATAGCAAATTCATGTACATTTTTTCAAAATATTTGTAGAATTCAAGTCATTCAAATCATCGATATAATTGTTGAAGAATACACGAGTCTCACATCGGAAATTTAACAAAATAGAAAATCTCATTTAATAAATAGTTCCACTCCTAATAACATCGATGCCTTTTGTATAAAACCTCACACCTGTTAAACAGGTGGTTAAGTTGGGGACAATATCGATGTTGCTAGTGGTGGGCCAAGGATCCATCCCTCTGAAATCTTAACAATAATTATATCTAGTTATTTCAAATTCATCATCGAGTTTTTAGAGTGCTACTATTTCCACCTCCCTATTATATTTCCCCACCCACCTTATCCTCAAAATTTTAAAGGCAAATTTATCTTTTTGTAAAATGACTTCTAAGGACTGAAATAAATTCTTCTATTTGTGACGCTTCTTTTATCATTTCCTTGGACTCTTCATCTTCTGTTTGCTTAATCGACGTCGTTTGTTGTTCGTCTTTAATTCAAACTTGATCAGTTTTATCTAGGCAAGTAAAATAAGGTTCACTCTCTGAAACACTGGTTTTTTTTTTTTTCCAGCTGCTTGTTATTTTGCACGAGTTTGCCAAACATGTGGTACTGTAATTTTTATGCTGTTGCAGTATCATAAAAAAAGGAAGAGCTCTTTTGAAACTACAGAAGAAGTAAAAATTGGAATATCGCAGAGTAGGGATGTTGGGTGAGTTATCCTTATGCAGGCTTCATTTGAAATTTATGTAAATAAATAGGGAATTAATTTGGGCGGATAATGTTAAAGCAAAATTCAATTAGGAGAAAACAAATTTATGGGTTTTACAGATGGGTTGGCGGGATGGTGGTGATGGCAGAGGAGAGGAAGAGGTTGGGGGTGACTTGGAGAAGAGAGTTTGATTAACTTTTTTTTCATTTAATTTTGTAAAGGGTATTTTAGGAATAATGAGGGGTGGAAAAATAAGGTTGTATTTATTCAAATTTACATGGTGGGTGGAAAAATAAGATGTGTGAGAAAATAGGACAGTGTGGTGGAAATAGCAGCACTCAGTTTTTATGCATCTTCCAAATTATTAATGTAGACTTGCTTGGTTCAATTTGTACTCATATGTACGCGATTACTTGTCATTTTTCTTGTAGTCCCTTTTCTTCTAAACAATTAAACATGGATGCCAAAATTTTGTTTACGGAAACTAGTACTTACGTATGTATTATATGGACTAGAATCTAGTTTAATTAAACAGCACTAATCCAGGTGCATAGTCAGTAGAGAAGGTATTATCCATTATAATCAAGTTGACAAACGCATCAAGAACCTTATATTATCCCACGCTATAGCACTATAAACAAGTTGACGTATATGCACCATCAACCTCTTTCTAGACTAGAACGACAAATATCCCTATAGGCAATGGCTAAAAGTGTCAATTAATACCCACTTTTGGGCATCCTTGCGGATAAAAAACACCATCAATCATGTCTTGTTTGGTCGCAAAGAAAAAAAAAAAGAAAAAAGAAATCTATCTTTTTCATGGTATAAACATGTATAACTTTCTTAACTAATTGTGTCGTTCAAATATGCTCTGTCATGTTAGACTAATAGTTTCAAAATTTTAAGTTATTAGAGAATGAGTCAATAATATATTGAATTACACCTAAATCGACAAACATCACAGAGTCCATTTTCTCAAAATATATATACAAACAAGGCCGGAACCACCCTTAGACGAGAGGGTGGGCTCCATCCCAGTCTAAATAATTAGATAAATAAGACTTTAGTGTTATTTTTAGGAAATTTAGTATATTTGCCCACCTCATTCCTCAAAAAAATAGTCTCTACTCCACCATAGCATCTCCTTAAACCGAAAAAGAAACATTTATAATCCACACGTATGAAAATTATTGGTTCCACCCTTGTATACAAAGCAAGCACATTGGTAGCATCTTAATCTTTAATTATGCAGAGAAGAATCAGATGGAAAAGGTTTAGAAAAGGGAATGTTATATTATAGAAAGAAAGAGTCAAAGGCCAGCAGCAGCACAAGAATATAGCTGAGCTGATCAATGTTTCTAAACAAAAACTCTACGCAAGCAAGCTAGCTAGCTCTTAGTATGAATGCGGTCTCTCACCTGCCTTTAATGCTCGTGCACATGGAGGGGTCTTTGTGTTGCAGCCGTTTCTGAGTATTTTTTTATGAATGAATGGCCTGCAAGAGGTTGAAGATGAATTAATATTAAAACCTATCAGTCTACTTTTTTTTTTCTTTCCTTTTTTAATGTCTTGGTACCATCTAGTTTATATTGTTTGCTCTGAGAGTACAAGGAACTTACATCCTTTAGGATTTAGTTGTTGCGATTCTCATGCCCTCTGCATATATAATGTCTCAATAATTAGTAACCAATTATTATTATTATTATTTATCTTTATAATAAGAACTATTTGAATTTTATTATATGGTATTTTGTATAAATTTATATATATATATACATGTTGGATGAGTCGATGTAAAGAAATGAATAGCAAGGGGACGCAAAAGGCCGGCCTTAAGCAATTTGCCCCGCTTGTTGTTGAGACACGTTTGATCTCCAGTCTTAAGCATTTCTTCCAAATTAATAAAACTGTTTACCAGTCTTAGGTTAGCCACCTCATGTAACTTTTCAATTAGTTTTATAAATAATTACGTAGTGATTGTGATTGTTTCTTACCGAACACCGACCACGGAACATCAAACACATGCTTATGCCATCAGACTGTAAATACATAATCTAGACCACACAATCAGTCAAAAAGCAACGGTTTAGACTTGTTTTAGCAACATAAACGTAGAATCTGATAACATTTTCCAGTTATTTACATCTAATAGGTTCCTTTAATTTGTTAACAAAGCCAAGTTCTTGTGAATACATACGAACGGGAAGATATGATCTGGAATTTCAAAAGCTATACAGCATACGTACAGATGGATCCTTTATACAGTAAGTTTGGCCACAACCAGCAGAGAGATTGAGATTGAGATTTTTCATTAATTGACAAACTTGAAATTAAACAAGATAGTTGGCTAACAAGGACATAGGAACCAAACACAACCCTCTTTTCTTTAAGTCCGTGCTGTCAGTTTTCCCACAACAATCATTAGTCTTTTCATGATCATCTGCCTGCTCCAGTTCCGCAAAATGCTCACCCTCTTTACCCTACAAAACCATCAGGACCAAAAAATATATATATATTGTTATAATCAACCAATAATTAATTTCTTTCCCAATAAAAGAATTAACAGAAGACATATTGAGGGGGAAAAAGAAAAAGAAAAGCAGTACCAAAGAATTAATATTGATATGATGATCATCTATCTTTCTGGGATTTATACCAACTGGTCTCAAATGATCACCAATCTATTAACAAAGATGACAAAAGACCAACAAAAAGTCAATTGCCAAAAACTAAAAATACTAAAGGGGAGAGAGAGAGAGAGAGAGAGAGAGAGAGAGAGAGAGAGAGAGAGAGAGAACATAAAAATCGAAAAGGGAAAAAGTAATTTGTATGTGTGGCTTATCGGACCTTGGGACTATTAACAGGAGAGCTAGCAGTATCCTCTAAATCATCACCAGAAATCTTCTTGGTTCTTGTTTTCTTGAAGGTTAATTTCTTGGGAAAATTATTGGGTGAGCCCCCAATGGAATTAGAGCATGTATGTTGGTTTTGGTTGTTTTGGGAAGCTAATTTCCATGCAGCACCAGAAGCAGCATCAGAAACCAAAGAAGAAGCGCAGCCAAAACTTGAGCAGAGACTTTGTTCCTCTGCTGCCGCTTCTCCTTCCCTCCTGTTGTTGTTATTGTTTGAGAAGTCTTCAAAGTAAGCAGTCCAACCACTCTCCTCCTCAGTGCAAGAGTATGTGGTTTGCTTAGAAGGAACAGCTTTGATCAGAGATGAATTACGAGATTTCTCCATCATCAATCAAATGCTTGCACAAGAAGGAGAGGGTGCTAGTTTGTTTTGCTTGGTTTGGTGGGTTTTTGAGGGGCTTTCAATTCTAAAAGAGTGGATTTAAATTTATAACTGAAAGAGATGATTAAAGAACTGAGAAAAAGAGGGAACCCATCATGTAAGAATCTGAGTAGAGGCCAGAGAGAGAGAGAGAGAGAGAGAGAGAGAGGAAGTTAAAACCAGCAGTTACAACATAAAACCAAGGCTGAGAGAGAGAGAGAGAGAACGTGCAAGGAAAAATACAGGTTATATGAGGGGGGAGGAGTTGACTTTTGTGGTTGTGATCAAATGGGATTTCACACCAATTATAACCATTTTTTCTTTGTTATGACTTGTGGCTTCATGGATTTCAACTAATCCCAATTAATGAGTCAGTAGCCAACCAACAACACAAAACTTGGACAGCAGGCTACATAGACTGGTTCATATAATAATAATATATAATGCTACAATTTAGGGCCTTAGAAATTGAGCTTCACAATCATGCAGAGCCCAAGCTGGAAATTTGGGTCTTGAAAGTTTCAAACCAACTGGTAAATTCATGACCAGAATAAATATTACCAACTTGAAATTTGACAATCCTATGCTGGCCCAAATTTGACTGGCACTTGATGACTTATAGACCACCTAGCCAAGACAAACACCAATAGTTTGGTCATTTGACTCATTTCGTAGCAATTCATCAAATTCAGAGCCAATTTGACTGTAAAATATTCAAAATCTGTTCAACTCACCTGACCAATCCTCAACCAATCCTTACAAAAGCTAGTGTATGTGTTTGCTTTTCAATTCACCAATTGGTTATACGTTAGGCAGGTTCACATACAGATACAGATCGTGCCAAGGTGTTGGCAAATCCTCAAGGTATCTGATTACATGGGCCAGAATTTTCTTGGTCAGCGGCGCCTCATGACATAACTAAAATGATATTCTGAATTTTCTAACCGTCTCTAGACGTCAATATCAATTAAAATTCAAGCAAACCAATCATGCTGCCAAACCCACTTCACATATCTATAATGGTTAATTATATATATATATATATATATATTGAAATAAGCGATAGTCTAAACTATAAGGGGATTTCTCACACACACTACTAAGATGTTATGGAAGTTCGAACTTGAGACAATTTGTCTGCAAGTCAAGTCCATTTTCCACTGAGCTAAACCTTGTTAACAGTTAATCAAGCATTACACAAGTTTAAGATGGTGGGACAATTCATATTGCTTCTACATGTATATGTTCCAGAAAATTTCTATCTTCCTCCATCATATAAGGATAATAATTACAAATAAAATTTCCTCATAACAAACATGTGCTCTGCTTATATATAGAATCTGGGATCGATTGGTGACAAATAACCAGTCGAAGTAGTTTTGTTTCATTAGACCTAAGACCGAAATATCCATACCATACTTGTCCTCTGCACAACAACAGTTGGCCATATATATATGTACATCATTTAGGCTTGGCAGTTTAGCAAACAGGCAAACCAATACCATTAACCAGTTCAATGTCTCAGCATCATCATATCAGACAAAAACATGCATGTTTTCTGGCTGACTGTAATTCTGGAAGGTTCCCAGTTTGGCCTTTTGGATGCATTCACTTGAATGTAACCATTACGCCAAAAAGGGTAACCATTTCTTATAACCACAGATTGATTGAATCTAATATTCCCATCCTAATACAACTTGAGCTGAGCACAGATTAGTTTAGCATTTTCGGCTTTTGTGGTTTAGTTTTGTGAGCATGTTCAGAGAAAGTTTGAAATTTGAGCAGATTTGGAACTTTGCAGAGACATGTAGCAACATTTAGAATAATATGTTCATCATAATTTGGCCACCGTATTATCTAATTTGCTTTAGCCTTCTTCTAAATATAATCAAGTTGCTCCTTTTTTGAAATTTTTAGTTCGATCGTGCTGACAAAACGCTCTGTCTACCAAAATAATATACAGATACCCAGGGCCCAAGGCCTAGGAGTGGGCTCAAGAGTCAACTAGGGTTTCGAAGAAACCTTGGCCCATCATAACCTTTCTTTTTTATTTTGGGTTGTGGGGCTAAGGCCATAAGGCCCAAACAACGAATATCATTATTTTCACATCCAAATAATTGAATCCGTTTTGCTGCAATAACTTTAACCATTGTGCGGACAACTATTTGGTGAAAAAAGAACATGAAACCACATTTTCATCCATTTTTCAGTAAGGTTTTAACGAGGCCACTTGAACCAATAGTTTGGTTGTATGTTTTCTTCGCCATTGGTGGAATGAAAGTTTCTTATTTGATCCAAATTTTAAAAAAAGCATGAAACCATCTCTCTATATAAAGTTGAAGGGCTGTTAATTTCAGAGGGAATTAAATGTTCTTTTCTCGACCTACAACCTGAGGAAAAAATAGTGAATGTCAAAATTCTTCGTGCCCACCAAGATTACATATCTATTTCTATGGAAAAAAAAAAACACATTTAAAGAAGTATGTATCCCATCTGAAACATTAAACGGTATATGATTTAATGTTCATAACTCTTTAATTTGAAGTACTGGTGCATATAGTATGCACGTGCATTGCTATGCTCTTAATATCCAATAATTTAATAGATGTGTGCCACCAAAAAAATCAACACAACATATTAATATACTTTGTGGATGTGTTTAATAAGATGGATTGGGTTTCACATTCATATCAATATGTTTTTTGTTTTTTAGTACAAGCAATTGAGAGGGGAAGTTTAGACAAATATTTATTGGTGTCTAGGGGTTTCAAACATCTGCCCGCATGAATAGAGGTGAAAAAGCTTAACCAACTGAGCTATACCCCACTGGTCATTCATATCGATCCGTTGATTCATATCTTGATCAACTTTTTATTTTAAATTTTCAGTACAAGTGAAAACAACATTCCATACTACAATTCATGCATCTGACAAAAGATACACCTACAAGGCATCATTTCTACAACAAATAAGAAAAATTGTCATGAAATATCAAAGTACCAAGCCTTTTTGATAGTACACTGCTGCAGAGTAAAATGATGGGTTTTTATGTATTTATTTATATTTATTTATTTTATTTTATAATCCCCTTTATTTACTATAACATAACACTTTTTTTTGGTAATTGTTCTCTCACCAATATATGTACTTAAAATGCAGTATGCAAGTGAATAATATCACAATTAATAATTTTTGTGTGTATATATATATATATATATATATATATACTTATGAGAAAATCAGGCCCAAAAGAAGGGGCATGAGAAAGATCAAACTCATGAACAAATCAAAGAAGCTCCACTTCTAGATCTACATACTTATTCTATGATTCCTAGTTGTTCCTTTATTGTATTGATAGAGAGAGGGATGGTGGGATATGGGCACATAAATGTAAAGTCGCATGAAAAAATAACAAAAGAATTTTATAACTTAGTATGCCCAGAATAGTTAATGCTAATACTTGAGACAAATATATATCAAGTTATTTATCACTTGAGACAAATAAAAATGTGTAACTAGACCTTTGAGACAAATGCCAATGACTCTGGAGACTCCGAATTATTGTGCAAGGGGACCCAATAATCTATATATATATATATATACATATCTAATCCTTTTTTATTAGTCTGAAATCCAACAAGAGAAAATCGCTAAAAACTATCAGTTTGGCTTTTTCTTATTAATGGTGATCTGAAACTTCTGCAAAATGAAAAAGTATTTAGGTTTGACTTTGTCAATTAATAGAAGACATTATTATGAGCAAGAAAAGAGAATTGAAACCTTCAATTGCGCTGATGAGAATAGTGGTGGCTGACATATTTGGGAGTGCTCTGGAAGTGTTGAAAGTGCTTTTTGATAATCAAGAACGCTTTTGACAGTGTTTGACAGAAAAGTTTAAAAGCGCTTCTAGGTCATAGAAGCGCTTTATGGAGTATCACCTGTTATGTGCTTCTTCAGGAATCACGTTCAAGTGCTTTTCTAGAAAGCACTTAGATTCTTATGAAAATTTCAACATCTTTATAATAAACACGCTTTTACTATAAGCGTTTATAAGCAGCAGTGGTTCTTAAAAAAGCAATCCTAAACTAGCCCCAGACTCTAAATATTAAAGAGCTTGTGCCGAAGCTTTCTTACTTTGACCTCATCAGCAAGAAACTTAGAAAAAAGAGGTGGTTTTCTTCTTTGGTTTACTCTCCAACACACGATCTCGACTTTTGGGGTCAAATGATGACCGAAGAAAAAAAGCCAACTTGCCTTTGCCCCCAGGTACATGACAGCTGCAGGAGAGAGCCCATGGAAGGGCCAAGATACAGTTGGGGTATGGCCCTGTTATCAGCAGGACCTACAAGAAATGGACATGGCTTCTTGGCAGGACCTGCTGCGTGTGACTGGTTGAATATTATGACAGATCATGATAGGCACAACACATAATTCATGGACCAAGATTCCTATTTGCTTCATAATTGCAACTTGTGATTTTGTTTTACGGATGAGGAAATCATGTTGTTTTGCTTCAATATAGTGTATATAGTATCCATCTCTAAGTACAAAAAACAATATTGTGAATAAATATTCCAATTGAAGGAAGATAACTCCTCTCTCTTCATATATTATGTCCACACTTAAAGTCAGAATTCGAATTCTTATCGATGGACACAAGAATGAATGAGTTTTATGGATTACAAAGCAATTCCCTAATTAAATAAAGAGAAGGCCCAAAAGGAATTACTGATCACAAGATCATGTGCTGCTAAAAGGAGAGTTAAAAGAAGTGCGAAAAAAACGAAGGAAAAGTTGAATAAATAAATAGACGAGGACTGTGGTGCAAATGGCACCACGTAACATCTTGTATGGGCAGGACTTGGCATCACAATTTTTTTTGTTCATATGGCCATCAAAAGGTATATGTAAATGGGGCATGATCATGTGATATCCATTAATTAATTATCATCTGCAAAATTCCTTCTGTTAGTTTGTGGTCCTTTGTGGATATATATGCAAAATTCTTGAAATATAAAGAAATATTCCAAGAATTGGTTTCATACTTTGACTATAGCCGGACCAGCACAAACCTTTACAGATATAAATTATTAAAATATGTTCGTAAAAGAACAATTAACGGGTCTAGTCCAGTAGAAAAGGGTTTTAACTTGCAGATCAGGTTTGAATCCCATAATATCATAGTTGTGGATGTGTGAAACCCCTTGTAATTTAGACTATCGCTTGTATAGTTTTATCTTCTTTTTTTTTTT